GCGATGACGCCGTCGTCCATGTTGGTTGTTCCCTCCGGATGCAGTTGATTCTTGAACTCTAACATCGTCCACATAGCATGACCCCAAATTGCGAGCGCCCCGCCTCAACATAAACAAAGAGCCGGTATGTTTCGCCACCTACATGAACAAGATGCCCTGCATGCCCTGCAGCTTCAACCCATGAACGAAAAAAACTGAACGGCCTTTCAAGTTGCAGCCCATAAGGCTTATGGTCTGTGGCTGGTCGTTCAGGGGCAAGTTCCTAGCAGAGCGACAATTGCGCAGGCAGCCGTTGTCTTTCAATCGAGCCAGAGTTGCCATCGGCTGCACAGGGCATCTCGCAAGAACTTCATTGCCCTGGAATTCAGAACAGCTCAAGTGCGTTCGAGGACAACGTTTCGAAGCACCTCACAGTCATGCAGTCCCCTACGAAGTCAGGAACCACCATGGCCCAAAGGCGGCCATCGGTGCTCGATGCCTCGGCAGATGCTGACTGCTACAGCTTTTGCACCGATCCACCTGCAACTTCATGCAAATTGGCGGCAGTGACGGTGAAGGTGACGCCATCCGAAGTGGCCTTTGTCAAGCAGGGGCCATGCAAAGCCAGTGGGCGTGTGAGAGTTCTCAGGGCCGCGCCACAGCACCTCCGATTAACACCTGCAAAACAGGGACGAAACAGCATGAGGCCTGAAAGCGCTGCAGCTTCGCTTGGCTCACCAGTTTGGGATAGGCCGCGAAAGCATTGGTGGTGCCTCAGTAGAGTAGAGAGCGTGACTGGCTGCATTCTTGTACAAGTCCGAGAGCTCTCTCAAGAACAGCAGGAGGACAGCGATCGACAAAGCGAGATTTCGAGGCTTTGGCCGTTGGATGGAACCATTACGTCGACAGGGGCGAAGCTGCCATCATTCTCCGCGGCTGCATCCTCGATGTACACCATGGCCTCTCTGCAAAGAGGGCTGTAGGAGACACTTGAGTTGCGTTGCTGCAGATCCCAGGCTTTCGGAGATGAGGAGTCAGGAGATTTATATGCATAGGGGGCCTCCTCCTGATCATGAGCATATCAGCACATCCAAGTTTGGTTGGAATGGGATTCTCCGTGAGGAGGGTAACGTGCTCCGTCCAAACTCGATCATGGACATGGTATGATACGGTAACATGAAAGAATCTTGTTTCGGAGGGTATCTGAATCGAAACCTCCCTCCGCCTGCCTTGTACAGCACTTCCAGGCTAAGTGCACAGCCGCTCACAGTGATGCTTTGCATACCACTCGACAGCATGATGCCTTAGAAAGGAGTGTGAATGTATGGTTCTTCACTCCACAGCCAGCCAACGTAAGCGAGCGGCTGGCCGCAGAGCACAGGGCACCCGTGCCCGCTTTGATCATGGCCACTGTGGTGCTGATAGCATCCTTGGAGCAGAAGCGGCAGAAGCACCAACAAAAAGAACCTGAAACCCTTTTGCATGAGAAGGAAGGTCAAAGCGATCTGATACGCAAAAAAGTGGCCAGCTCGGGGATGACGACCGCCCAGGCCACGCCGCCCGCCTGTCTGAGTGCCACATCAAGTCACACCACTGGAAAGATCATCTTTCACTTCGATCTGCCTCCCGTGGCTCGAATTCGATATCAACCTGGCTCGGTGTGGGCCTCAAGTAGCTTCAGCTTTTTGCCACTATGTGCTGCAGCCCCCTGAAGTCTGGGGCGTTGCTGCCAGCCGTGGGTAGGGGTACACACCTGCAACTGGGCAGAGCACCGGCAGGTGCTGGAGCATGCATCTGCATGCTGCATTTGGTGCAGCTGTGGCCTGCAAACTCATTCGAGGGTGGCACAGCCACCTGCATAGGATCGGCCAAAACGCCGTCATCCTTCATGTGTCCATCCTGCCGTTCTAGGTCCAATAGCTTAGCCGAAAAAAGGCACATGAACATGCATTCAGATGCCTCAACATACACGAAAAGCCGGTATGTCTGCCCACCGTACAGTCTGCAGCTGGTCAAGTTTACCTTATTCTGGAAGCACGCGATTTCACAAGCACCAGACCAGCTTCGGGCGCAGACCGTGTTGCCGACCGTGTATGCAAACGCATTCCACTTGCCTGCTTCAGCCCATGACTTTCACTGGTCAAAGTTGCACATTAGGTAATTAACAAATTTTGAGAGGTGCTCAACTGTTCTGAGCCGAGTCGCATGTTGCATCGCCTACCGCGTTCATGAAGGCCTCTCCGTCCAGCACAGATGAAACATCAGTGGGGTCACATGCAACTACGAGCTCTGCAGTTGCGCCATGTTCCGCTTGTATACTAGCAATCAGTTCTGTCTCCAGCTTCCACAACCGCCAAGTCCTGCGGCGCCTTGATATTGGCAACGGTCAGCGTTGCGAAGTCGGCTTCAGCAGCCAGCATGGCATAGCCCCAGCCTGCACAAGTTGCTGGCTGGGCCACTGTTGTGTGCTGTTCGCCGAGTGGTGTGCTGAAACCATTTCCCTCGTATACCGTCAACCTATGCGCGTGAGGCTTGTGACAAGTTTCCAGCGTCACCAGCCAAGACAAGCCTGAATACAAATGTTGCTCATCTACTTCAAACCGCGCCCGCTTGCGCCACTTTGCGCTGCGTTTTGTTTGAACATTCAGGACCATTTGGGATCTTGACGATCTTGGTCACACTAGCGGAGGCATGTTGAATTCGTTTTGATGGAACGCCATCATAACCTGCCCAGCTTTACTAAATGAAGGGACCCCGAGATGGGGTCAGGAAACTTTTGGACAAAGCTGGGATCTTCCTGGACGGGAGAGTACTGGAAATGTTTGTAGTCTTGGGATGTCTTGGGGAAAGTTGGGGATTTGCTTGGAAGGGTGACTTGGCATTTGCTTGAAAGGGAATGGGTTGGTCGGGTTTTGTTACTTCCTGGGAAGAAGACATCCTGGACGGATTCTATAGGAATATCTCGGATGTGTGACCCTCCAGTCAGCAACTGTAATCTTAAGTCCTAATTATGCTTGAGGAGTAAATTGGCAGGTGTGGGAAGATCTACTTGCGCGGGCAGTTGCACTTGAATGGCAGAGACTATACTGACAAGAAACATGGGGCCCCTGAAAAACAAAGGATGTCCGCCATCCAAGAAATGGTGATTCTTATTGTTGTCCGTGACTTGGTCATGTCAACGTTTGGCTGTAGGGCCATGGCTATGGGTTGCGCGCCCATAGCCTCCTCAGAGGCCGGTAAGTCATCAAAAGCATGAGGGATGCGCCTGAGGAGGCCGTTGGCGTGAAGCTAAAGGCAAAGCCGTCCTGGCGGAGGTTCGTGGATTCCGTTTGTCTCGACACGTCTTGCAAGTGCATCCATGCCTTCATCACGGGTGATGTGATCTCCGGAGCTACCTCGGTGTTTGTAAGTATCATCTGTCCAGTGGGGCATGTCCGCTGGAGTTCCCAGCCATGAAGGAATTGGAGGTCTGTGGAACTTGGAAGCGCAGCGGTCCGTACATCGACCCGTCCTTGCATGATGCCAAGCTCAATTTGCAAACCCAACTCTCCAAATAGACAAGCAGACCAGAGGGTCGGACATTGTCGAGAGCCGTGTAAGACTCGACGTATGCGAAGACAGAATACCTCGTATTTATCGCAGAGTTTTGGTGTTAGCCAAGCCACGGAAGCCACCACATTCGGTTGACAGGCAGGGGAGGTCTGGGGCGCACCAGCCCGTACCGTTTAAGCCACAGCCGTGCAGAAGAATCCTTAGACTGCAGGACCAGCATGAGGCATCACTGTGGAGCTACGTGCTGTTCATATGATTTACAAGCCTCCATCTTGCAATGAGGTTCCTCTTGACGACTCATACTGATGTGATTGCTGGTGCCAGTTGGCCAGGTTCCACACTCACGCATCTGCCCAGCCACCACTGGCACAGCAATTCCGCGGCAAGACCTGAGCCGGCAACAGAATGACCCACTCTTTGTGCTAATCATTGCTAGTTGCGAGCAATACTTGTCCCTGAACAGGCTGGGCTGCAGACGTCCGTCCCACGGCATCTACGCCTGTCTTCACCTTCACTTAGGCGCAGCTTGTGCTCATGGCACCTTTCTGCAGGCTGCAGACCCGCCTTGGGAGGGGTGGAGGTGGGCGCCGGCGTGTACAGACTGTCCTTACAATGTCGGACGATAGCTGCTCTGGCAGATGATGGCAAACTATCAGGCTTCAAAGGTCTTCTCTTTTGCGATGTGCGGGTCCGGGGCGCCAAGCGCTAAAACTGTGTATGGCAAGATCTCAAAAATGTGCTCTCTGCTGGCTTTGGTTTTACACGGCCATCACACCACACTCACCATGAGATCTTAGCATAGCGAATTAAAAACTTGAATATAAAAATAAAGGAGACAGGAGGACTGCGCTTTACACAATACTTCTAGCCAAAGATGAGGCCAAGTTCATGGTCATACACCACTTGACAAGAGGGAAAGAAACGCACGGCTTGCTGGCCACACCGTGTCCCCAGTGCTGCTCTATCATCACAAGAAAATTAGTAAAGGCGTGAGGGAAGCCCGTGCCAGAAGCCCCTGCGCTTAGTCAAAGAGTTCCATGCATACTCTGGTCAGTTCGTCCCTTGCAAAAGATCTTGGTCTGGATGGCATGTCCGAGGCACCAGGCGTCCTGCCGTCCCGTACGGCACTAAAATGTGTAAACAATGGGAAACTTGAAATTCGTAATCTGCAAAGATGTCTCCTGCCAAAGCATGTGGACAGCATCCAACCACAAGGGGGAAAAAGAAGAAAAGTCTGAACTTTCCGCTTGCTCCGCTTGCAAGCACCCTGTTTCTAACAGGTGTTGCTTCGCTTCGCGATTCGCTTCACAATGTACCAACGCTCCTTGGGAGCTCTGAAACCAAACATGGCTAGCTTTGCTGCGCTTTGCTACTAGCTTCTCAAGTGCAAACGTGCCCATTCGGGCATGCAGGTTGCAAGTGCAACGCTCCGCGACAAGAGTCAACTCTCGCGCTTCTAGCTCCCAACACTACTCATGAGACCGCGCGGTCCAAGCCCGCCCCGAGAACAAGCGCTTTCGAGGACCTGCAAAGCTTGCGCACAGAGGCAAAGTTTGCAACATCTTGTAACTGCCATCGTGCCGTTTGAAGTGTGGCGGGCCGGGTGCCAGGCTGGGGCTGCTCGGCGGCTGCGGTGTGAAGCCTTGCTGCACCGCCAGCTGCGCCACGGCTCCTCCTGAAATCCAGAAGTCTCCACAGCCCATCATTTTTCTAGCAACGCCTGCCTGGCTGCACGATCTGTGCTGCATCTGCTGGAGGACCTGCGATGCAAACTGGCACTCTTGATGGCAAATTCAGGGAGACGAAACAAGAACCAAAGAACCACCAACAGGGATAGCTGTTGCCATTCTCTTCATGCTTTGACTCATCATTGAAAGAGTCCAGCAACCAGTAAATATTTTCGTCCGCGTCCCGACATGTCCCGACTACATGCGAGGAAGCTAAGACTAGTAATTGCTGCTTTTCCAGGTTGGAGACGGAAAGAACTGGAACGACGAACCGTGGCACTTGCTTTCATGGGGTGATTTCACAAAATAGAATACTAGTGCCCTGTGTAATCAGAAGAAGAAACTGTGGTGCAATGTGTCCATCTTCCCCTGGCTTTGATGGTTCTAGCTCGTGTCGCAACTGGCAAATTCTGACCTGAACAATTGGCGACTCTCTACCACGACCCTAAGGACCACAGCCTCCATGGGCCGCAGCATGCAAAAGCTATAGTGCTGCTACTGCCACATGTAGCTTCATGTGCCAAATATAATGTCTTCACAAGAAAGGAAACAGCTTGAGCTTGAGGGGACGTCCCAAAAAGAATGCCCACACCTGGTGTCGAGTAGCCACCGCCGGAAGCCATGGCGGAGCTTTGGCCGAAGGCGCCTTGCCGGGGCACGTAGGTCAATCTCCTTGTAAAACAAAGTTGTTTTAAAACAATTTTTTTTCTTTCTTTCTTTCATTCGGGCTATGGGATGGCTCTTGGGATCCATCCTGGGCTCCTGCCCAGCCTGTGTTGGGCCTCTGGGAACTATGGCCCTTGTTGGGCTTCTCAGTTGGAACCTTAGCCTTTCTTTCACTCTCCCTCCAAGAGCCTCATACCCTACACTGAACTGAATCTGAATTCTCCCAATGTACTTCTCTTTCTGCCCCCCCTCCTGGACTGCAAAAACAGATTCACTAGAGCCACAGACATGTTGATACCCCAATGATCTCCACAAACCCGCACCTTCAGCCGTCTCAGAAGTGAGCTCGTCCAACGTTTCATCGATTGCCGCCAGGCCAGACTGGGAGCTGCCTGCTTGACAACTTTCAGTCTTTACCTTGTTTGAAGATGCCCACTTCCCGGCCTCTTTCTGGCATGGACAATGCCGACATGGCCTGCTCGCAGACAGTGAGCTCCTGCACCTCCTCAATGGCCTTCAAGGGAATGCCATGCTTCACTAAGAAGCTTTGGCCGCAGCCCTGCCTCCTCGTGCAGCATCATGCATGCCTGAGCAAAGACTGCATTGCAGCATGTTGCAGCTCACAACAGCATATCAGCGCACACTCGCCCACCTGACATGCGGCTGGCCGCTTCCGTGCTTGCCGCGCGAGCAGCCGTTGTAGGACAGCCACCTCAGGCATCGAGCGAAACACCTAATGTTGAGCTTTGGAATTTCAATTACTGCCAGGAAACAGTGGGCTGCCCAAGCTTGCTCGCAGCAAGTTCGTCCATTGAGGGGTTACCCGTCAATGTCTGCTGGGTGCACTTTGCCTGGCTTTTTTCAGCAACAGCTACTTCCTATCTCTGGTGTCTGGCAGCCTCCGCAAAGGGCTCGATGCCGGTGAGCAAGAATAGGATACAAGCTGCTACGCCTTGCTTCGCATACGCTGGCAGTTCAGGGTTCAGTAAACAGCGTTACCAGGCAACCTAGTCCCGCCAAGCTGCTGAACACGTCGCTAGCAGGCCCCTGGGACCCGAGGCGTGCGTCGGCCACTTCCGGAGCCGTGTATCCATCCTGATCACAGCTTGCTTCAAAGATTTGAATGATGCATCCCACATAAAGGCTTCACGGCTTAACCTACCAGACCTGTAAGGATCCGCTGAGCGTCGATACGGGCCCGCCGGGCCAAAGAAGCGTCCTCGAAGCGACATGCGTTGCCGAAGTTCACCAGAACCGGCCCTCGGAAGCATGAGCTGGGGGAGTGCATGCAAAACGTTGAATGACCCGTGCGAGAACCGCAGTAAGTGAGTTAGCAGGAGGAGTTTGCGTGCACCTAGTCACGACAAGTTAATGTCAGGCAAGGCTTCGCAGGGACTCCCCGAGGAGCACATTTCCAGGCCGGATATCTCTGTGGAGAACTCGACGGGCATGTAGATGGGAAACTGCTGAGAGAAGCGCTATGCTTGCTCCCTCGCCAACTATCCGATCCAAGTGTCCGTAGATGCTAACGTGATCTTGAAGACGACCCCCAGTGCAAATCTCGAGGGCCAACAGCCAAAGTGATTTGCTTTTCCACTTGACGCAGAACGTCCCGCGGAGCTTGACTATGTTCGGATGCTGGGCAGTCTCGGCCAGAAAGCGAACTTCGGCAACGATCGACTGCGCCTCCTCGTCTGTCTCCTCAATTAGCGGAGGCTGACCCCTGCGAAACTAACATCTACTGGAGGCTGGAAGCTAGCAGCCCAATTCACGACTCATCAGATCAGTGATTTACTCTGAGTTGCAGGATGCTTCATGATCTTGATGGCGGCTGGATCACATGGCGGCTGGGAGCCGGTGAGTTCTTCCTGGAAGGTCATTCATCGAAACAGTCAGGACAAGTTGCTGCACCATTTCCAGGGGACCTGATATTTGATGCATTGATGTTTTGGCTTGACTTCCGAGTACGAGTGGATGCAGTCCCACCTCTGAGTGGCTGTGCTCATCCACCAGGGAGTCCAGCGCGCAAAAACTACGGCGAAGAAGGCCTGCCAAAGATTCCAAGTCAAACCCTTTCAGCCGCTGCACTTGCCAGATCTTGCCAGTGCGTCATCCTACGCAACCCTGCTCAGGCAGTATACGTCCCAGCCTCGGCGTGTGATGCTCGAGGAACCTCGTCCAGTCACCTGCTTGTGAAACACATACTCCTCGTCAATGTCCCACCTGCAACTGCTGCAGTGTTGTGGTCTGCAAACATGCCCAACCAAGTCATACCACTCGCCACGAATTCGTGGGTCTAGGAGTAGCAGGTCAGATAGCCATACCCCTATCATGCCTATGCGGTCAGAATGCAGGCGCCTTAGAGCGCCGCTTCTTTGCAGCACTTGGAGGAAGGACTCCATCTCCGGCGTGCCAGCGTGGAAGCTAGCCTCAGAGGCTACAGCTACCGAATTAGGCAGCTTGTCTACACGAGCACTACTTATGAAATACTTATGAATATTTAGCATTATGCCGAGTTGCACAAAGCACCCAGACCTCATCAGTGCCCGGATCGTCGAAGGACTCAAGCGGCGCCATCTGCATACGCTTCCAGCGAGGAGCCAGGCCAATCAAGAATTTCAGGTCTGGAATCTCTTCAGTCTCCGCCCTATCAAATGGAGTCTGCATGTCCGAACCGTCGAGGTCTGGCGTTGGTATTCTAGTCCATGCCACATCTGCACATAGAAGACTCAGATTGAAGTCCACTCCTGTTGGAGAATGCCTTGTAATGACAGCTCCACCAGCAAACTCGACCAAATTACTGCGGCCCAGGTCTTGCCATTTCGACCTGCCATCCACAAGGTTCTTCAGGCAGCTGGTGAGACTCTCGCCACGACTGAGGTCTTGTTTCGTGACCAGCTTGTGCGGGTGGAAGCGCTGAGCAGCATCAGGGCCATGCAAGGGATGAAGCCACACGGGCATTTCTGACTGCAGGTTACGCTACATGTCCACTGAAAGCCAAATACAGATCCGGTGTGATGTGGTTGACACACACTGGCAAGGTCTGGCAAGGTCTGGCAAGGATAGCTCGCAGGTCTCAATCTCACCTGAGGTGCGAACATCGTCCGGCACAAGGATTGCCTCAAATAGCAGAGCAGCCCCCAGCCCTGAGCCCAGACCAGCGCAGAGCGATCCAAGTGGCCCAAGCAGAGCCCGACTCCTTGGCTGTGATGCTGAGCGTGATGCTATCTGAGCCTTGGCAATCGATTAATGGCACTTTGGAAGTCTCTTTCCAAATGCTCCGTGGCCCTTGCTGATAGCACCGACAAGCATCGGGTCTCCATGGAACTCGTTGGAGAGCGGGAAAATCAAGCTGCCATCTCTGTAGACACGGTAACTTGACCTTGGCGTCGTGCATGCTGGTTTGCCGGACGTAAAGCTTCGCATCCCTGGGTCCCCTAGGTCATCTGGCACTGCACGGCCGCAGTTGTCTGCCGTCTCAGGCCACGCAAGCGAGATGGACCATGGGCTGCCAGACACCTGACTGAGAAGCAGCCATACATTCAATACAGTACATGTCATGAGCTTGTGGCCTTGTAGGGCGCTGCAACGAGACTGCGCGGTGTGCATCGCATTTCTGCCGTGAAGACACTGGTCCTTGCACCGGGCCCAACCTGGCGTGGCGGAGGAGCCCCGCTCAACGCTTCTGCGGGAACTGGTAAGTGAGCGAGGCCCCGACATCGTTGACGGCCACAGCATAGAAGCGGTACGTTTTTCCGTTGGTCAAGGAATGAATGGTGACGCTCGTTTGCGAACCTGCCTGAAAGAGTTTCTCAAAGGAGCTGGCTTGCAACTTAGAAGAACATTTGCAGGCCATTTCTCGGTTTCTGGCGTAGGCCAAGGCGTAGATGCCAGAGGAGTCGCCGGCCTTGCCACACAAGGGACTCCAACTTGGCTGCAACCGTGAGCAGCCAACGGGCACAGAGCAACACAGGCGCCAACATCACGGTACAGCTGGTAGGATTTGACAGGGTTGCCCCCATCAACTGCAGGAACCTGCTGCAAGACTGTTACAAGACGATATCACCTTCGGCGGAAGTGAGCTTCAAGCATTCCAGGCCAGGGTCATCGAGGAGGGGGTGCGCAGGTCCACCATGTCCAAAGGCCTCATGCCACTGCAACAGCAGATGTGCATATAGTGGCCAGCCGTGTACCAGGCTGCAATGGCACGTTCATATTGAGCCGCAGGTCCGCTGGAGCCTGCCGAGTACCCATGCACCCAGAAGCTTCAATAACAGAATACACAGCCGAGCTGCATCAGGCTCCGCACCGCAGACTCGCGAGACCGAAGGGCTAGGCCCGCCCCAGCCTCGGATTGCAACCCGTCCGCAATCGCCCGCACTTTGGGAGTTGTTTTTTGAATTCGTGTCCAGGCCAGGCCCCCAACCAACCACGTTGCGAGCCGCCACCGTGATTAGATGGTGCCTGTGCAGTTCACCCTCTCACTTTCGTCATCCAGAAGCCACACATTTGTAGCTGCTAAAGGGGCTATGGACCAGGCTGACCAGTCACGCAGATGATCTGCACCTTGCTGTACGGCAGCGATGCTTGCAGCTGGGCCAACATGCTGAAACAAGCCGAGCCACGGAGGTTATGGAGGCCACGCTAGTGCCATCGTAGCGGTCACACTGGCCGTCAAAAGTGACCTTGTACCCCAGCCTGCAGCCAGTCGGCTTGGGATTAGCTTTGTTGGTAGTCCTAGAAAACCGGGCTCGCACGTGAGAGAGCCGCCATTGTCCGCAGGCTCCGTCCAAGTGACCCGCACACGGTCCTCTCAGGAACAAGGGTTGAACTGCAAAACACATTGTTGACAATTTGCTTTGGCAGCAGATTTCAAACAATCGCGCTGTCCGTGTAGCCAGGAATAGTCTCCACCTCAGCATGGCAGTGTCAAATCAGACTTGAACAAGCAGTGTTGGACTTCAAAACACGGTCTGCTTGGAGTACAACCAGAGGCGTCTGAGGATTTGCCGGCACGGCTGCCACTACCTGCGACTCAAGGCAGAGGTGGCTTTAAAGCAGTTTCTTTCAGCTGGGCTGGTTGCAAAGTATGTTGTATGTTGATTTTCATGTGTTTGCGATTGATTTGAAAAGGTTGGATAGGCTATTCAGGAAGGAGCTGGGCAGTATACATCTGTCAGCTTTAGACATAAGAAGTCTGATTTTTGCTGGGTTCGGGGATGATTTCACATGGGATTTGCCTGCGTGTTAGGGGAGTATTAGTATAACATTCCCCGTGTATATGATTGTTCATTTTGACTTGGTCCACAAGGAAGAGCTTGAATGTTTTTAACATTCTGGTTTTGACATGCCCGCAGTCAATGTCAAGCTTCACTTCGCCACAACTTATGATGAGAAGTGAATTTCGCAGAGATTGACACGCCACGCGTTGAGCACCTACTTGAAACGATCAATGCAGGAGCTCGTATCTTAAACGCGAACAGCAGGAAAAATTGCAAAAACCATGGCCTTCTGGATGGTGGGGAGGTTGTAACCGTGATGATACGAATCAGCAGCTCTGCATGACATGGCGGTAGATGGGATTTCGCACTGTCTTGAACAGTGCTTTACAGTCAGCATCAGTTACCCCATGGGACGCTCTGCAAAAATGCTTCTGTCACGGTAATGCTGATCAAACACAACCCCCATCATATCAGCCAAGTACAGGGCCTTTGAATCCATGCGGTGCCTCCATTTCGGAACTTCAACAATACCTTCGACGGAATTGTAGAGAAGTCCACCCTCATGCGGATTCAATTGCGCACGATATGCCATCGTGTAACCCCCAATATCCCCGATGAAGATCTCGCAGATGTGGTTATTCCCACGGATGGTTTTGCCAGCACGTTCCATCTGTCGTCCACGGATCTCTTGATACTGTCGTTTCCTTTCACCAATCTGTCCAAACCATAGATTCATCCTTCCTACGAGCTCGAGGAAAGTGGGCTTCTTCATCAATAATGACTGGGCAGAAGTGTTCCTGGCGCTTGACAAAAGTTCGATATACCTCGATCCCTTCTTTCATCTTGCCGTAGATGAATGCGTAATCAACAGGACCTCCCGCCGGTTGAGGAACAAATATGCGAACGCCGCATCGTTCTACCGATGTCCAGATATGAGCGCACAGCTGGCACCACAGAAAAATAGTCGGAGATTGCAAGGTAATCGTTCTTGCCCAGCAGGCTCTCTCTTTGTCAATCCGCCCCTACGCGGGCAAGATAGTCCTCGGACCACCGTGCACGGTGAACAATTTTGTATGCTTTTGGCAGTATGCTGCCGGGCACACCAGCTCTAAGGCGTTTATGTTCAAATGACAGCTTACAATTTCTTTCTGAGTGAACTCTCGTGGTAGCCATTTCGCATCTACTGTTGTGAGCCCTTAGCTGCTCGCGGCGCGGTGGCGTGGATTTTATTGTTTTTCATATGTGTGTTGTGTTTGTGCAGGTTATTCTTGTGCTTTGCTTCTAGGCCTTTTCAGCTAGAGCTCGCCATGCCCGTCCACGGTTCAGCTGCATCATTGCCCGCCAAAGCACGAAACCAGCCACACTTTCGATTGGCATGAATGAAAGAATGAATGAACGAATGAATACTGCTGCGGGTGTCGGTGTCCGTCATGCTGCCAACCTTTGAGGGCTTCGTACAGACCGAGTGAACGCTCAAGTACCCCCTTTACTTCATTCGCTGTTTTGGCGACCCATGGAACCTGAATGCAGAGCCACCTCTAACACATACTGTATCAGCAGCAGACAGACGAGATGAGCTAAGCGCGGCCATTGCAACAAAAATGCTGGCGGAAGAGGCACGTAGCTTACAAAGCAAGGCAGGGGTCGAGACCACAAAGGCCACCTTCCATGTCCAGGGCTGTAACTCCCCCTCACCCCCCTCCCACTGGTATGCTACTGGCAATAGGTTCCACAATTGCGAGTATTCTGTTAGTGGATTGTTTGTGGTTTTTAGCACTTTTGAAGTCTGTGACATCAAAAGATTATAGCTGCGTGGATCGTGACAAGGACACTCACCATCCTTGCGACTGCTGGCAGCTAGAGATCTGCAACATCAAAAACAAAGACAGTTACGAGAATCATGACCACGACACCCACCATCCTTGTCACAGTTGGCACTATTCGGATTTGAAGAGTCCAAAGCGACAATGACAACAGTTCCGGGAATGGCACATCTGAGGCGTCGAAAGCAAGGACGGTTACGAGGATCGTGGGCTGGACAGCCACCATCCCTGAGACTGCTCGTGCTGTTGACAGGCATCGAGACCGGTTGCAAAATCTGCCGCCAACCCAACGGCAGCTACGCTCGCCCATAAACGGCGCGACTGCTGTCTTCAAACGTGCCTTCGGTCTTCGAGCCAAGAGTGCTCCCCCGAGTTACAGCCATGCAATCGTAAATGAAACCATCAGCATTGGCCTTGCAGACATTGCCGCTATTTCCAGAAATCATGCCTGGAGGCCCTATAGGGACTTGCCGCCAGAGCAGCAAAATCTCTTGGGCTGAAATCCAACATCATAGCTTGGAGGGCCGCATCAGTTGATTCATGGCATCCGTAGACGATTGCAATCCAACAACTTTCATCTAAGAATTGCAGAATTGCCATTCTGCAAAAATGAGCAGGTCCAGCATGTTTCATGCCCTCCACTCTTTTTGCCCGGTTGCTTTCTGTGCAATTGCAGAGGCTCCCCCCACGGGCTGGGACCAGGCCAGCGTGCAGGAACTGCATGAACAAATTGCCGTCCCTCTCAATGGCTGTCTTCACGTCGAGCTGGAGGCCATGCAGGCCATGCAATTGCAGCTTCCAATAAAGGTTTGCCGGCCTAGAAAGGTTAAGGACCATTTTGTCAACGCTCCGGCGCAGCTTTCTGCTGATGTGCACCTACACTGCGACTTCGGCCCATGCTTGAGTTCGTAGCAGCACCAGCGCCAGCTCCAGCAACGGCACCAGCCCCAGCACCAGCAACAGCACAGCCCGGCAGCAGCAACAGCACCGCCACACCACCACCACCAACTCGAAAAGTGTCTGCCCCCCTCTCTTGGATACGTCACGGCTGGGGTGTCAGAGGAGAAACGGAATGTATCCTGCCGGGGGATAACCTCGCTCCATGACAACAACTTGTTCCCCAAACAGCCCACCAAATCTGTGTCTTAAATAATGGGGGGTGAGGCGCGCACGGCCATTGCATGGAGAAACCCATCTATAAAACGACTGCCTTTCTACATGAAATCTCTAACTACATCAGGGAGGGTGTTGGAAATTCTGCAGAGTTGTCATTTCATGGTTGCCCAGTCTATAGTTACTTTTAAGATCCCAATGTTTGTAGAACTCCTCATTGAGTCGGACCCACGAAGATAACCGGCGGCAACAGTAAGATATAGACATAGAGACGGGCTCCTTGAAGCACGAGACATTTCCGAGCCCCTCCCCTAGATGCACGGCATGTTGGGAACTTTGGAAAAAAGGAGAGAAGGAAGGCGAACGGAACAGAATTTCACGGAAAAATGGACAACACCTGGAGAGCAAAGCACATTCGCAGGCTTTCAGCTGGATGACAACGTAACGTGTTCAGAGATGACAGCTGGATACATTTCTAGCGGGGCAGGTTCAGGTCCCGGGCAGGGGTACTCCATGGGCCACAATAATTAGGCTAGGGTATGCCACTGCCATCACCACCGCCACCATCATCACCATCACTGCTGCCGCACCACCACCACCATCACCACCACCACCACCACCACCACCACCACCACCACCACAACCACCAAGCAGTCATCAACCTTGGATAACAAAGCTGATGCTCAGAGTCTCCAAAACTGCAGAATGATGATGCTTGGACGTACATCTCGAGACATCACGCAGGCGCCTGTTGGAAGACTGCCGTGTATGGCCCAGTCCCGACCACAGTCTCCGCAGCTACGCGGAAGCGGTAGGGGCGCCCAGGGGTAAGATACCTTGGCCCGCCAAGTGCATCAGGTCTGCAATATCTTGCTCAAGTGGCGAGGAAAGGCCATGACTCAATAGTCGTGTAGGTTCCGGCAACCACAGCCACGTCGCCGAAAGCACCTCCCAAGCCATCATCCGCCTGCACGCGATAGAAGTCCACCATAGCCTCATGGGTTAGAAACATCAAAAGCTCTAACAGTTTCACCCTTCTACAGAGCTTACTCTGCAACCAAGGGCGGGTCCCCGCCCGTGTCCAAAGGTGAGTCCCACATCAGTGTAATGGACGTCCTGCGCAACATGCACACACTTCCGCTTTACCGCTTTGCTCTGTTGCGGGCCTGGTCGAGGTGACGTAGCCGAGATTTCTGGTGATGCCAGGGAGGGAGGCAGCGAATGCAGTGACCTGCCGCATGATGCCACATGGCCAGAAGACTTCCTGCTACTTAGCAGGAGATTCCTGCTTCTCCTACAGTAGTATCGTCCCCATGGCTTGTTCCCCCATTCCTGCTAACTACCAGCAAGAAAGGCGGTATAAAAGAAAGCTTTCGACTAGGTGGCCGGCGTGAGAGCTGTGCGGCCCGAAGTACTCCAGCGCATCGTTGCGGGCCGCAATGCGATAGATGTACATTTGCCCCGGGCTGGCAGGCAGGCGACATTTGGCATTAAAGGCTTTTTTGCTTGATCAAGCACAGCTGGCAACAGTAAGTATGTCATCAAGGCCTCAAGTCTCCACTGTCCGTGTAGGTCTGCACGGGGGTAGACCTCGTACTGCAAGAGGCTAAGCAGTTAATTTGGCTAGGCTTGGCTAGGCTCTCTGCACGTTGGCAATGGGCTCGAAGCCCTGGCCCAAGTCCCGCTCAATGCGGTAGTACCTGGCTGCCCAGCGCACACCACAGTGTGCAAAGAGCAAGCTGTAACTTGGCCACGCGGCTCGAGCTCTGTACATCCAGTGCTCTCCGGAATATCCCAGGCCTGCCGCAAGGCACAAAAGGAACGCAAGGCACGCAACACAGGATTTCAGGTGAGCTGGGCCAGCGTGATGGAGCCCGTGCTGCTAGCCAGGACACGCGCGGATCGGGGCCTGGGAAGGCAATCTCTGAACGCCACCGAGAAGTGGAGAATTGGAAGAGTAAGTGCCAGTCTGAGAGGGGGTGTGCGCCAGCTTGAAGGAGGCGATAGAACTTCGAGGGCCTGTCCACAACCCATTTTTTCAACCCTGGAGACCATGAGAGCTCAGCGCCTTCCCCAATGCTGGTGACAGCCGACACCTCTGCCTGACAGCTGTGCTTGTCACCCACTCCAAGCACTTGTGAGGCTGTGCCTGGTAGACTCTACCACAAACTAGCGAAGTTGCCGTAAACTCCGTCGCCTGCAAAGGTTTCAGATGCCGAAGGAGCATCCACTTCAAGGATGGGAGGCAGCACAGCTCAGAGCAAAACAGAAGGTTTGTCGCTGCCATCGTAAACGAGGGAGGTCACGTCCTGAACTTGCATGATGCACCCAGGCTTTGCCAGGTGTTGCTTGGGCATACCAAGAGTCTGGCGTCACGCCCAGTGTTCATATAGAGTCGGTAGCCGCCCAAAGGAGCCCCACCGGTCTGACAACATCCAAACACGCTTTGGGGCACACTGAGCTGGACGCAGTGCTGCTATGGTGCCTGCGACACTGGTAGCGGTGACCATGCCCAGGTGAGGGAGACCTTCAAGCGTCAAACGGTCAAAGAATGCTTGATGCTTTTTTTTGCACTTCGAGCCGAACTTGGCAAAGTGGGCCCACTGGGCCCCGAGCCGAGGTGGTGGAGGCTCGCGTGAGCCCCGTCGGCGCGGCGGTGGGCGCCTGAGACTTCGGAACGTCGGAACTTCTCTCCTCTTCTCACCCTTGGTTCTACCGCTGGACCCTTCACCAGCTTCGGGCAAGGCACGGTGCCAACGACCTGGGAAACCACGTTGGAGTAGGAGCCGCCTCAGTGCTTTGCTCTGCTTCACACTGCTCAAAGCACTTTCCATCCAGCCTAATCCTACATGAACCCACGTGCCTCCAGCATTGGTCACTGCCCGAATCCGGAACTGGTACCTTGCCCCACAAATGCTAGCGCATCAAATCCAGTTCTCCTCTTTCAGAGTCTTCTCTCCCGATCGTCCAATTTCCAGGCTGCGCACACCAGACCTTGCGCCAAGTTGAAAACGGTCTTCGTGAACCTTGTGGTGGATAGATACAAGGCTACTGTCGCAAGGCCAGCCGAGCTTCCAGCTGCGTGTTGTCTGGGTATGGACCATCTTCCTTTGCCCAAATGCGAGAGAGGCATGCGTTGACAATGCCAAGGGACAACTCATGGCAACTCCTGCCAGGTGTTGAAAAGCGGCTCCTGTGCAGAAAAACAACAAGAGAAAGGGAAGTTCTGGCAAGCAAAGGAATCGCGGGCCGGCGCGTACTCCAGGACGTAATGCAGCACAGGTTCGCCACCGTTGTCCTGAGGGGCTTTTGCGTCTTTATCTGTCAAGGTCTGAGCTGGGCACCTGCGGCGGTTTCCAACTGCAAAGGACTTCTTCAGCGCCAGCTGTGGCCACCTGCCAAGCTGTTCGCTGGCCAAAACGAGCTAAATCCTTCACCGCCTGCAGGTCGCTGGGCGCCGATGGCTCCACGGCCATGGCACGGTACAGCACCTGCCAGACAACCCGACAAGCAAACAGATGCTTATGGTTAAGGAGAGCTTACATCAAGCTCGGCAGCCGTGCATCCGAGTCCAGGCCCGAGCCAACCTGGAGAATCATTCACAAGGCTCTGCTACCCGTCATCAAGCCAACAAGAGAGCGTGAGATGCCCAAGGAGAGAAAGACTTTGAGGCGACGACGACGTTGACCGCCCTAACGTATGCTCTGTATGTGCGACCAGGCCTTGGCACGGATGCCAGAAACGGCTCAAGCTGCGCATGCAGCCGTGCATACAAGTGCATGTTGCTCGCCGCAGTGCTCCCAGTGCACTTTGCTGGACTTGGCTGAATTATGCTCGATTGTTCTGCAGTTGCCATCCGAATATGAGTTTGGGGCACCAGTCCTGTGGCCACGAAGTAGGTTTCGAAAGGCTTGTTGTAGCCATCATAGGACCGGGAGAATTTCCCTGTCTCACGCAGACATGTTCGGACATGCGGATGAGACTCCTGCCTCCGAGGCCGTCATCCATCCACAGCTCGTAGCCCTTCAGGATCGAGAAGTCTGTGGAGCCGATCCTTGCGTCCCAGCAGTTTAAGTCCACTCAGTCCGGCCCATGACCTGCCACTGCCCAAGTTCTCTATGCCCCGAGCTCAGTGGCTCCCAGGAGTGGGATCCAGTTGTAGAGCAGTTCTGTGGGAGACACATGGGTGGCCTTGGATCAAAGCTTCTGAATGCTTTCGCTGTGCTTTTGCTGTGGTTTGCTGGAAGGAAATCGGTGAAGTCCCCGGCATTGAGTCCGGACACGCGGCCAGGCAGTGAGGCAGTGTAGCTTTGCAGGTACGGCGACTCGCTGCCTGCACCACGAACAGCCCTCGCAAAATGTCCTGACCGGATGTAGGGCCCCGGCCCCAGGTGTCCAGGCAGTTCCTTGCCAAGGCGCACGTTTCTGCGCCAGAGTCAGCAGTGCTGCTTGGGCAACAAAGGGTGGGACTTTGCTTCCACGCTCCAACGGTAGGAAGTGGCACATTCCAAGCCTTCAGCGCAATATTTTGCAGTGTAAATTTGCCTCCATCAATGTGCCTGCTGTGAAGTAAGTCACTGTTGTGGAGGAAACCTCCAGAATCACAGGCGAGGGGGCGACGAGTGTACAGCAGCCAATCTCTGGCACATAACCGGAACTGATGCCTCTGTTCCGGTTGCCACTCCGTCGCGAAGGATACGGTAGCGGATCCTTGAAACAATTCAGCCACGTCTGGACCATGTTCAAAGCAAAAGCCAGATTAATTGAGCACCCCGCACTGGGCAGCCACCATCGTCCTCCACAAGACAGCTGAATGTAAAATTGCTACCTATGACCTCAGGTTGAAAGTGCACACCTGCCTCGGGTACAGACCATTTGAAGCTGATGGAGCCGCCAGAGCACGAGGAGGTCTGGAGCACCGGCCTTGGCGAAAACCGCTGCGTTCAAGACAAAGCCCGGTTGATTCCAGCTCTCTGAGAACTGCTTCACGTGTGGCAGAACTGAGTATGTCCAGGTCCAAGGCTGTCCCACAGGGCTTGGCATAGACGCAGACAGGAACCGCTGCGCCACACTGGCTGCGCCCTCTCCTGCGGTGAGTTTTGTTTTTCAGCCGATGACTTCTTTGTTTCCAGGTGCCAAAACGCAATTCTGCCAGGCTGGCAAAAATCCGCCCTTTACCTTTGAAGGAGCTACGGTTCTACAGCTCGAAAGGGTCTATCTAGGCTATAGAGCCTACAGACCTCATCCCTCAGAAACAAGGTTGCAACAAAAAGCTTCCAGTGGAACAAAAGTACATTTCACTGGGCTGCATGGTGTGGTCCATGGCGCCCAGCACTTGTCAAAATCAGAAGTTTCTTTGCTGTCAGGCCAATCAGCTGTGAGTTGCCAAGGCGGAGCAGCGCCTGTTTGCGCCTGGAACCTCTTCTTCTGTCGCTGAAGGCAGGATTTTGGGTTCCATGCTTCCTTTTTCCGACCTACTTCATTCTGCCAAAAAAGGGCCTAGCTTGCATTTACGCGGGAGTTGCTCGCACTCAATTGCAGCGTCAATGTTTTGTCATTGTTGTCACTCACTGACCCACTGAGTCACTCAGGCAGGTTCACCCTCCGGCTCTGTTCTTTATCGGTTGGTCAGTCAGCCACTAGCCAGGAGGTCGCTTTGACACGGCCAGAGCATGCGCTTGGAAGCTGCCAAGAAGCACCACGTGGTGCTTGCAGCCCAACACATTTCCAACCTTTCTTCACCCACTTCATTCACAGTCTGCCATGCATGGCAACTTGGAATCACCCTGATGTGCCCAGCTCAAGAGCATGAACCCTGTGGGTCCAGCAGCATTGCGTGCGGCGATGGAGAAGGAGTAGTAGCCTGCAGCGGCTTCAGGCGAAAACCAAACACACCCAAATGACCCTTGCAAGCAAGCGACGCCCAGTTGCCAGGTCGCTGCTGGTGAAGGTCGTTGCAGCACCGCCTCCCACAACATCAAGATCAATTTACGCCATGGCTTCCCTGAATGAAACTGCACGCTTTTAGTGTTAGGCCCCGCACGGTAAATCGGTGTGAGCGTGGAACCGAGCCCATCGTCCCTGCGCAGAATGAACCTCAGATTAGATGCGCTAGCGCCACAAACTTCAATCGTAGCAAAGAATAGCGGCCGGCTGGTAAACATCTGCCCCGTTGGCTGTAGGCGTGCTCCAGGACACTGAAATTTCAGACTTCGACCTGAGCGGTTGCAACCTACTGCAGTCGCTGTAAGAACTGAAAACAGATATGCCACTCTGCATTGATACTCGAACGGCTGAAACCCTGGCTGCGACACGAGCATGACAGCAGCTGGCTGCGAGGGCAAGCCTCACGCACACGTTTGCGAGCATTGCTGAGCACCCAAAAGCCAGGTTTGCAAAAGGGGCCTGCTGCCACAAAGGTTGCCAAATTGCTGAAATCGCTTGCGGATTGCTCGTGGTGGATCCGGATCCTTGGGCTTTGCCGAGGCAGCAAGGTGCAAGGCAGGGCAAGGTCCACGCTGAGTCCGGGCAGCTGGCCGGTAGCGGTAAGTCAATCCAGCCGAGACCGTCATGTCCTGAAACCACAAAGCTGCATCAGCCTAGCTTGTGGGGTGCATGCTGATCCGGTCCGAGTATGTGAAGTCGGGCGCATCGACTTCCGCGAGGAGGGAGAAAACTCCGTCCTGCAAGTTGAAATCGCCAACTAATGCGCCACCGGCTTGCTTGGCTGCATACGCAACACTTTGACAACATGTAATAGCCTTGCCGTCGCATCTTTTTGTGGCAACTCAGGACAGCAACAGCTGCGCACAGCGCCTATTGGTCTGACCTGCTGTGTCCACTACGTCCTATCAGGGTGTGAAACTTCAGTCTAGTGAGCCTACTATTTAAAACGTTACGGCAACTCTTCCAGTGGCCTGGTACTGCCTGGTCTCCTATGGCGCTTTACCAAACGTCACTGGGATCCCCCGTCCGCTTGGCCGCACCAATCAGGAGCTGGAGTTGCCCGTCCACCTCCCACGCGACATCCGGGTGCTGCGCCACGAGGCGCAGCGGCACACCCCTCCCCCCTGAGTCCCCGCTTCCTCCTCCGCTGCCTCTTCCTCTGCGGCTAGCCTCGCACCTCTCTGCCTCCCAAGCCAGTGGCGGGGGGATGGCGAAGCCATGCGGATCCAGGGTCGCCGGCAGTGACGAGAGCAATAGGTGTGCGGCCTGCATACGGAATCCCTCAAGCATGATCAAGCATCCCAAGCGCTATCGCAAGAGTTTGTCGTTTGTCGTTCTTTGGGCCTCATCCAGGGAGTCCTCGGAGGCATCGCCTGCTGCAACTCGTTTTGCAAGGACTTCCTCAGATGCACGCAGGTGGACGGCGCATGGCGCGTTCAAAGCTGGGCCAACAGGTAACGCAAGTATAACGCAAGTTCGGTGCAGCTTTTTGGCAGCAGAGGAACCGCCTCAACGTCCATCAGTTCATGGGGTGCCCGTCCGTCTGCCTTGGCAGACTGTAGGCAGCGACACAGAGAGCAAACGAGAGCAGTGAATGTGGCAGGTCAAGTGACGTGTCTGTAAGCATCGCCTCCAGCTCCTTCTATTCAAAGGCTTTCACAAAAATGCATGAGGAAAGGAGCTGCTTCGCAGTCCTGGGCAAGGCCGCACAGGGCTGTCAGTCGGCAGATCCTGAGCAGGCCATAGGCCAACATCTATCTGATGATTCATGTTGACGTCACTTCTGGCCTGCGCGGATATGCCTGAGGCGGGGCCTCACAAAGCACATGGCAGCACAAGCTGGACAATCTGGATACACGTTCACCACTGCCCAGGGGCCCGGACTTTCTGCGGGCCTGGCTGCCTTTTTCTGCTCCGGAGATCCATGTGGTAATGGACCGGTCCCGTTGCGGGGGGCTTGGGCAAAGCCACCTGCGTCCAGCTGCGCCATGAGGGGAGATGCCATGGCCTGTCAGTCAAAGGCTCAAATCTTTCCTGGTTGGGAAGCAGCACCAGTAGCCTGCTGTGCCAGCGTTGGCTCAAAGCCCAAATATGGGGGGGACTCAGGTAAGGAAAAGTAAAGGATTGTCAGGATGAGGATGATTTGTGAGGGCGCTCTGGCAATTGTGCAGCTTGGGCTCTTTGTGTAAAAAAGCTTGTTTTTGCTGACGGTCGGTCGAGCTATCTAGGTGCAGTGTTTAGTAGTTGCCATTCCATGTTCTGGCAAAATGGCTGCACAAGGCCATGCTGGCAGCTCAACACCTCTGGCATCCTCTGGCAATCTCGCTTGGCTCAAAGGACAAGTCACTCCTGGCCGTCATCTCGCTGGATCTCTGTCTTGAGGATGGGCATGCCGCCATTGTCTGGGCAAATTGTAAGGTCTCTAAGCGGGGTTTAGAAAGTTGGGATGAAGAAAGCCATGCCTGGTGGTGTCCACGTGAAGTTGATGACAGGCGGCACGGCGGACGTCGCAGTGGCCAAAGGCGCTTCGGGCTGGTCGGGTGGCGCGGCTGCAGTGAGAGGCCCAAAGATGATGCCGCTCCGGCACCCCCTCTTGTTGCAGGCTGCCACGAAGAAGTTGTAGCGGCGGCCAGTCACCAGACCAGTGTATTTGTACTCGTTACCCGACTCAGAGAGGTCCGTTTCGGTTTCAAAGTAATTTGTTGGAAGAACGTCTACACGCACAAAATCACCTCCAAGCCCATCATCGCGGTAGGGCTCAAAACTGGTCACAGGGCTGCCACCATCCCCTCCCGGCGGATCGAAGCGGAAGGTCACGCTCGTACGCTCCTGGCTCACCTTCTCAAGCGTCACCGTATCAGGCACGTCTGTGGTAGTAAACAGCGCAATGCCGCTCCTGCCACCTGGCAGCGTACAGGCACCGTCGTTGACGCAAATACCATCAGAGTCATATTCATGCAGTGATGTTCCTGCTCCGTATGGACAATCTGCATGGGCTTGAACCTGGATTTGATAATCCCTGCCGAGGAGAAGGTTCGGCACATCAAACTCAGTCCTGGACATGTCGCAGACCGACACCTGCGTGCTTAGCAAACCATTTACGGTGCCATCATTGTGATAGATCACATAGCGGACAATGGGCGAACCTCCATCCGAGGGAGGGGGATCCAAGCCGATCGTGATCGACCCAAAACTGGCTGTGATGAACCGAGGTTGCAGCGGTGAGGCAGGCGGCTCGGCAGCCAGGAATGTGGAGATGTTGGTGCGTGCCCCCTCACCCACGCTGCTGACCGAGCTGACCTGGTACCAGTAACGCCTTCCTGGTGTCAGCCCTGTATGCTTAAAGGAGCGAACAGATGGGCTGCCAGAACCATCAAAGACCAGAGAAAGTGCGTCATCAATTCCCGTATTAGCATAAACTCGGTATCCAATAACAAGGGCACCGCCAGTCTCAGCAGCATCGGTGACTGGCGACCAGTGAACTTCAATTGCAGTTTTGCTTGCAGGAGGGTCGTCCCTCGTGACAGAAGTTGGTGGAGTTGGAAGGTCAGCAGCTGTGGCTACAAGGTATGGCGACACGTCTGCAAAATTGTCATCCTCCACACCATTAATTGCCAATACCCGATACTTGCACCTGCGCAGAGGGCAAAGAAATGCAGTATCATCCAAGCAGGAGTCTATGTTCTCGGGCAACGTGGTCAGATAAGACCCGTCTGTTTGCAGACACTGCACAGTGCCGAAGAAGTAGACGTCACTATTGGAGCGCTGCACCTTATAGCCAGAGATGGGCATGCCCCCATTGTTTGTTGGAGGCACCCACTGAACTTCCTGAGCGCTCAGGGTCACACTTTCCCCTCAAGACTGATGCTTGTTACAACTTTGGAAAACCAGCAACCAAACAGCTGCTGGATGATGTCAAGAGGTGCAACTGCCGAGAGAGTGGTAGACTTCAAGGAAGGTTGTGGTGGAGGATATGGACGCCTGCACAAGGCCAAGCAAGTGTCGCAACTGTCAGCATCAAGTGGCTCGTAGCACAAGCCGCAGAGGCGAGGCCTGGCGCAGAAACGCGGTAAGGAGGCCGAGTAACCAGATTCACCAGCATCGCTGATGGCAGTCGCGCGGAAGTCGTGCATGTTGCCTTCAAAACACGGCCACCGAGGCGTCTCCCATAACAGCCTGACCCCTGCATGCAATTTAGATGCCTGTCGTACAGCCAGCAAGTGTAAACGTGCGCACCGTGCTCACACCCGCGCCATCATACTTCAGCACATTGTCCACCTCAAAAACTACAGCAAGTCAGGATGAGTAGGTCACAGCATGAACTCTGCTGCCAAGCAACATACAACCGGAAGCCGGTGACCGTTAAATCGGAGAGTGGAATATTCCAGGACACGGTGATGGTTGTCTCTGTGGACGTTACAAAAGTCACTGTCGGTGCCGTGGGCACCGCAGCTGCTGGGATCGAAGACTCCGGTGAGTAGAGGGTCTCCCCCACAGAGACTAAATTGAACGCAGACACGCGGTAGATGTAGAAGGACCTGCAACACAAGGGGACAGCCTTCGTACAAGCTTTAGTTGAGGAGCGTTAGTCTGAAGAGCTGGGACGACACGAATGCAAGGGGGCCTAGCAACCAGCTGGAAAGTATCCACGTATGTTGTTGAGGTGTAGCTGTCCGACGCTGTCGTCAATGAGGTCCAGAGTGCAGTTGGCGAGCTCTTCCTCTCGACGATGTACCCCAGGACGGGAGAGCCTCCATTGTAAGGTGCAGCCCAGGAGATGTGCACAGCTGCAGCAGAGGTGGAGGTCCTGAGAGATCTTACGGGCATCCAAGACAAGCCTCGCAAACACGTTTCATGGCTCATCATTGCTCATCTCAACGCATCCCAATTCCCCCCCTCCCGTCCTGTCCACAGCGGGCCGGCCGGGCGCATCTGGCTTGGAGGCTGCGACGATGGAGAAAATGTTTGACCGAGCACCATCCCCGGTTGGGTTCACGCTCTGCACTTGGAAGCGGTACGTGTGCCCAGCCAGCAGTGCCACGGTACCGTCGGAGAAAACAGGTGCCCATGAATAGGAGAGTGTGGCGGCTTTGGTGCCACCGTCCCAGATCAAATTGTTGATGGCACCACCATTGCCATCATCCACCCAGACCTTGTAACCGCTCATTCCTGAAGCGCCTGTGAGCAAAGGCTTGCTCCACTGCAAGTCGATTCGGTAGGAGCTCTGAAAAGTGGCCTCCACGTCATAGGGTTGACCTGCAACATCAGACGCCGTCAGCGTAATTCGCTCGCTGCGAGGACCTTCCCCTGCAGCGTTGACCGCCGCAACGGCAAAGCGATAGGGATTTCCAGGTGTCAAAAACTCGAAGAACTCCGTCGTTGTGGTACCTGAAGCGGTGTTCTTCGAGATCTCTGTATAGCCGTCGTCCATGTAGAGCCGGTAGTAGATCAAGGACGAAGTGCCAATGTCCTCGGCTGATACCCTGACAATCTTCCGCCTGTGTCCCAGACCGGATGAGGACGAGGATGGCTTAAGTTGACAAGCGCCAGAGCCTAAAACCAACTGGGGAGAGCATCCTGTGGCCCAGAATAGACCCCTAAGAAGCCGGGTGTCCGTTTCTCATGCCGCACGATTCGCAATTAATCCAATTTTTAGGGGTGCCTAGCTCCGTACTCCTTCATGCTAACCTCAACCCAAAAACTCCTCCTCAAGTTTGACGAGAAAGCTTTGGTAAGTGAAAGAGGACAAGTGACGGTCACAGGATCCCAGGCTAGAGAAATCTTCTCATTGCTCTGGTCACCTCAGGGAAGGAAATCCTGAGGCTGAATTTTCCGCGTTCCCCCCTGCCTGATCGCCGGAGGTTCAGCGGTGGGGAGCCCGGCTTCCGGAACTCACAGCATACCACAGCCGTCACGTCGCTCAAGGGGCTCTGGCCAATGCGGCTCCAGTAAGAAGTCTGGAAGAGGTACCTAAGATTTCGCTCAAGCTAGAAGCGATCAATCGAGATGAGTGGACAAACTGCAGGGAAGCGACTGCCTCCCTTCCACAAGGCCGCCAATCATCAGTTCCACCATGGACGTGCCATCCATGTCACCCTCATAGGTGAACCGCAGGACTCCACCAAGGCCATCATTTCGGTAGAGTGTATAGCCTGGAGTTTCCGGCACCAGAAAAGCGTCCCAAACAGGATGAAAAGACCTGCCCATGAACTGCTGCTTAGACACGGATGGTGGGCGACCAGCCGGATGGAGCGCCAGTCAGTGGAGTGAAACGGAAGGTCATGCTGCCCGAAGCGGTATTGATCAAAAGCGCAGGGTCCGGCCTGAAGCTCTCGTTGCTCTCGTTGCTCTCTTGCACAATGCACTCACAATACCTGGGCCCGGGGCTTCACGGGGGGCACTGATGGCTGTGCCGAGATAGTCACAGGCTCACCATCGTCGCCATTCACGGCCATGATCCTGGCTGGGTTCACTAGTTGGGAGCACAGCATAGGAAGCCCTTATGTGGCACCTGTAGTAATAGACGAGACCGGTGACCAGGCCCGAGTCAGTGTAGGAGAAGGTGTTCTGGTCGGTGATAGCCAGCAGACTGTCGATCGCCCCTCCCTGACCGTTGTCACGAAAGATCCGGTAGCCAAGGATTGGCTTGGCGCTGCTGTCTTGCGGAGGAACCCAGGACCTGTCCAAAGACGGCTTGTTTCAGGCTCTCAGAATGCTACGTGTGCACTGTGCAAGTTGCTTCAGTATCTAAGCAGTTGAGTGGAGCGCAATTGATTTACGTCATACTGGAAGTCGTGGTGGTAGAAAGCTTCAACGGGTCCTTGACAGTCAAGAAAAGGGCGCAGATGGATGCTGGCATCAGGCTGTGATAGGCTGTGCAGTGTCCTGGCTTGTCGTAGACAAGGACTGTCTGAGGGAAGAGTCCCAAACGGCTCCGGGAATGGAACCAGTTGTCTTTGCCAATCACCTCGCGCGCCACGCCCTGGTCGCTAGACCATTCAAGCCTCATCCTGGCGAAACCCGTGCGCTCGTAGTACATAACCTGCACATGGTAGAGCCGGTCTCCTGTGAGCAGAATGGGTCTGGTCTGGAACTGCCCTGCTTCATCCTGGCTCATGATCAGTTCATCATCCAGCCACATTTTGGCACCGTCGTCTGCCGTGACGTAGAAGGTGTAGTTTGCGGCCGTTGGGACTTGCAGATATCCGTCGAACTGGGCTGAGGCATAGTCTGAGGACTCTGCTGTGACCAGACCCTCACCCCAGTTAAAGTCAATTGCCGTGTCTACCTGCGAGATGGCCGGGACGCCCTCCACCCAGCGATTGTTGAAGTACCGGGCATTCACGCCTCCTTTGTTGAGCGCATAGCAGCTTACCTTGTGAAGGCCTGTGGTGTCCAGCTTCAGGTTGACACGGAAGAGCCCGGCACCATGCCTGGGGGCCCCACTTTACACGCCGAAACCGCTTTCAGTAACTGCACAACACACTGAAACCACTTCGTTTGGAAGTCTGCCTGACGATGTCCAAAGGTGGACGGAACGGGGGCGTGCGCCGCTCTGGGCCTGCTTGCACACGTCGTTCAACACTACATCACGACATGTCTTGACATTGCATGCTGCTTTTCCCATGGCAGCCGGCCGTCCGCTTCACAGATCATGAAGTTGTTGCCTGGGCTGCCCATAACCCCAAAACAAGGCATGGACTCACGAGATGACAAGGCAGTTCAAGTGAGACCCAGTGGCCCAGGTCAGGCACGTCGTTTCCAAACTCGTCTCGGACTTGGAAAATCACCATGTTGTCGGTGCTCCTGCGAATCTCCGGGAAGAAGGTCGTGAAAGCGTAGACATAACTCACCTGACACCGTGAGCCCTGTGGAAGCCTTTTCTATTGCCGCAACGTGTGCCACAGGCGGCACAAAGCACTTACTGGGGGGCTCACGCCATTCGTCGAGTCGATGGGCTTGGGGTTGATCACAAGCCTCATGTCAACACCACACGAGTAGGAATCATGCGCTTGCGAGGCTCACTGACAGGTCCCGCGGCATCTCGCTGCTTGCAGGTTTAAGAAACGGGAAAGTGTACGGAGCCACTGGATTCACCGGCTGCCCATTCACGCGCAGGACCACGTTGAGAGTTTGGGCCTGGCACCCGAAGGGGACAAGGCGCTGAGAAGCGATCTGAGGTGATCATCTAGCCCGGCTGGCCTGCGTGATGAGATAGGAGCACCTGTACCTGCAATGTAGAAGGAGAAGGCATCTTCAGCAATGCCTTTATCCGATCATCCGAAAGCTAGAGCCAGTGCGCACACTCCCAATCCCTGATCTGCACAGTTCATCCTGCTGTCGTCGAGTGTCACCTCGGAGAGCCGTCCATTTCAGCATCAGCAGGGGAAAGGGCAGCAGGAAATCCTTCTTGCTGACCCTTTTTGAGGTGCGGACAGGCTCGCCGATGGAAATACCCCTGCAGCGGCCAGCTTGAATTGCTTTCTCGTCCTTGTTGAGTTGCTATGCCCGCCTCTGATTGAGCTGCGCATCACGCAGGGTGACGAAGAAGACGCCCTGCCATAGAGGCCGCACGCAGGATTGCACCAGCCGCACTCGAAAAGCGTAGAGCGACCGAAGCCTCCACGCCAGCCTCTGCAAATTGCAAACCAGTGCCTGTGATGAGGCTGTGGACCTTGTAGGCGTTCATGCTCACGCTTGCACTACGGCTTTGTTGCGGTAGTCTTTCGGTAGTCTTCTGATGTGCTTTCTGAGGCAATGGCGGCACTGGTGGGGCCCGGCTCCACGCGTGTAGTGAAGGGAGAGCCCACAATGTCAATGCCTGGAAAGGGGCTGAGCTTCTGCAAGTTGCAGCAAACGCCTCAGCGGGGCCCATGCCAGCACGACACGCCTTTTTTGTGTGGCCGTTCCGCAGCAAAGACGGATGCGCTCATCTTGAGCGCATCTACGACTCCCTGCTGAGAGAGCGCACCAGAGCTGGTGGGTTAGAGGCAGGGCCACTGTGAGCATTCAGAACCTCGGAGTCCATGTCATTCCTTGGCTTCCAGATTCCACCAGCCCTGCATTAACTCGTGATGACAGGCAGAAAAAGAATCCGCAGCACTACGCGAAGTGCTGAAGAGGTGTCTGCTGCTCCCAGGCCAGGTCCGAGCCTTTTCGATCGACCAGCGGCTGATCCAGACCTTCGCCTGAAAGAACACAAAAGCAGCCACTAAAAATCAGTAGAAAAGTAGTAGAACACAATCAAAGTCCTCCTGGTTCTACGTGATCCACCTGGCCTGGAAGGGGCGGCAGATTTCGGAAGCATCCAAACAGGCTGCAGAAGCTCAGCACCTCCCAGAATCAAAATCTCACAGGCATCGTTCCTTACACCAACAATGGCTCTCCTGCAACGCGCAGTAAGCCACAAGCTGCCACTGAAGGCTCGGATGCCAGCCAGAGAAGACCTCAACCAGTTGCCCTTGCACATCCTTGCACTCACCTTGCCAGCTACATTATGCCCGCTGACCAGATAGTAGAGGAAGGCAACAGAGATGATCCCTGAGGGTAGCGACACCAGCTTGTCCTCTGGAGAACTTGAAGCCACATGCAGCATGTCATTGGGACAAGCAACAGAGCTCTCCTGGTTTCCGTTGGCTACATTGACCTCGGACGGAGAACCAAAGCCACATATAATGACCGCTGAAACAAGCCAGGCAGCTTTGCCCACTTTCATTGCCGAGCGGCATGGATCAGCTCGATTTCTTTGCGATCCGCGCATTCCTTCCTCATCATTGCTGGCGGGATGGCACCCCCCACGCGGCTGCCGCTTGTGCCGGAAAAAGCAGCCAGGCTCCGTGCAAGGGCCTGTGCCCGTGGCAGTCTCTCAATCTAAACATGAAACTGGGGAAGACGTATCAAGTGAATTTTCAGCTAGGATGCGATGGTCAGGAAGAACCACCCAGAAGGTGCTAGCACCGCGGCCAGCTGTACAAACTCCGAGACGCGCCCCAAGATCCCAGAATACACGTACCAAGCCTTCCTGCTGTAGTCCAAACTTTGTGTCCTCACACACATTCCCGAGTCACACTAGCCACTAGCAGCTACTATTGACTAGCTTGCAGTTGAGAAGCACAGCTGGAAGACCCAGAAGCAAGCCCATAACACAATCGATCGTTGTCATGAAGACATCAATCCTCTGCGGATTCACATGCGCGGGATGAGCAGCAGTCAACAGAAAAAAACTGGCGGCATCATGCGAACTACCAACAGCCGCATTTGTAATAGTAGTCATTCGTAGCTGTGGCTAGAGTAGCAGAGTAGTCGCCGAAATGGTACTTGGTCTCCCCTCAAAGCAGTCTCAACAGAATCCGGCTCCACCTCCGCTAACCCTTGTCTTGTCGTTCGAAACAGAAAGACTTCACAAACCACGGCAGACCACCGGGACGGAATTGGAAGTGATGAGGAGGTGTACACGGGGACGTAAACAGGAGTAGCTGTGTTGGAGTCTACTATCCGATGTCAAGCGTCAACACCGCCCTAAGGGGTGAGCTTGCTGCATTTCCGACGCCATATACACGACCCCAGAACAGCATGCTCACGACAATCTGCTTGGGATAGCCGATCAGCACCTGGCTGGATGCCACCGAGGAAGTGGGACGAAATGTGACAGCATGGCAGCGCATGGCTCAGGGCCTGAAGCAGCATCCAGGCCCGAAACGGACCATAAGAGTCCACCACCTCAGGGCAGCTGCAGCTGCTCGTAAGTTTGACGCTGCCTCTTGCACCCAGGCGGCAGTGCTTGGGTATCCCTTTGGGAGGAACATTCGGCGCAGGAAGCTCTTTGGCTTCTGGACCTCTAAAGACACAAGTGTCACCCTGCCTACCCTACCTTGCCTACCCTAAGTGAATTGCCAGTGCCCCCCAGGGCCCGGCGTCTGCCAGGACGTAGTCTCCGTCATTTTGGAACGCCTCGATGTCCAGCTGCCGCACCGCCTGGACATTTCCAAGCCTTAACGGCACTCGTAAGAAAGTTCTCTCATCTCTCTGGCATTGTCACTGGGCGCGGAGCAGGTGGACAAAGGACAAGAGCACGAACCATGCCAAGCTGGCTTCGAGTGACTTCTCTTCTGCCTGACATGTTTGAAGAAATCTGCAACAGCCGAAAAGCGCCGAGTGCAGTTGGCCTCCTGACCAGTTCCGATGCCAATTGCTCCCAGGAGGAGCCCCATGCCGACGAAGAGGCCAACGATTTTGCCACCCCGGTCCTTGCGGCCCAGCTGCCAGCACTCTCCCCGCCAGGTTCTTAAAAATGATGCAAACTGATGAGCAGTCCTGGTTGCTTTCTTTGAGAGAGATGTCCCCAAAATCCGGGTCTAGGCCTGGAAGATCCGTAGTGAGAATTGGGGTTGTCGAGACTTCAATTTCTCAGGGGTCGGCGTGTACCGCCTTTGGCAAAATGCTGCAGGATGACTGACCGCACGGCCCCGGACATCGTGCCTGCAACGAGGCACAGGGCCTCACGAAGCGGAAAGCAGGAAGCAGACCAGCCAACGAGCATGTAAGGCTTCAACATGCTTCAACCAAGGTGCCGGTCCCAGGTAAAGAAATGCAACCACCCCAGAGAAGATGGCAGCTAGGATCTCTACCTGAAACGCAGTCTTGCTGCTTGCAGCTTTCCATTTTCAAAATTTTGAAGTCAGGCCACAAGGTGGCCGACTGCGTTCACGACTTCTGCAGACATTCGGAATGTCCGCGGTGCGGAGCCTGGATCTTGCAACCAAGAGGGGATCGCAGGACTCGAGACTTTGCGTTCCACGGTACGGTAGCGGTCTGTGAAGGCAGGAGTTGCCACCTCGGCGAAGCATGGCGAAGCATGAAGCGCTTTCTTTGCCCGAGCGAAACATGATTAATACATGGCTGAGTCTGAGCTAAGATGCCCCCATGCCGATGATCGTTGCTAGGAGATCTCGCCCCATTTGAAGCGCTGTTGCTTCTGCAGGCGTCTTGGTGGGGTCGCCCACACCATGGAACTTCATCACGGCCTTTCATCGTCAGGTGAACGTTCAACTCTGCCGCACAAAGCAGGCAGCACCAAGGTGCTGCAAGCGCTGGCTTGCAATGTTCCAAGCTGCTTGAGGACAACTGGTACTGTATGTGATATTTACATGCATCTTTGGAAGCCCAAGGTGGGTTCGTTGCGGGCGGTTTCAAGAGAGCTTGTTGTTGGCAGATAAACCTGGCTTGCCCCTTCTGGCAGCCGGGTGTGCATTCTCCTCATGCGGCTTGTGTCTGCCAAGTCTCGTTGGTTGAGCCACACTGCATCCTCCGTATGACACATCTCACGTCTTGCGCTGGATTTCCTGGCGCCTCATCTCCCCTTGTTGAAGTCCATTAAACGCAATGCAAGATCGATGTGGAAATGTTCATGAACAGAAACCCAAGCAAGAAGCTATATGCAGTGCCCGTGCCTGCTTGCTGATCACCTAGGCTGGAGAAAATCAAGCAGGTTTGGCTGAGTTGCACCGCGCCGAGAGGCTGTGTTGACAAAGAAAGTCACCTCAAAAAAACAAACAATCGAGACCAAAATGTTGCTGGGTCATGGCAAGCAATCAAGCCTGTTGGATGGTGTCCCAAAGCTGGTAGCGGCCGTATTCCGGCGCAACCGAGCTGGGCCAGCCCTCTGGCGCAAAGACTGCCAGGAAGTAGGCGCGGGCGGCCATTGCATGCCCTTCACCTGATGTCGCCTAGCGAAAGTTCTAGATGTGGTTTTGCATGTGGCGCGCCGCTGCTAAAGACCATTGAAGGTCATGCCAAGAGATACTCAAGCCCAAAGCTGCATATTCGAGAGCATAGGAGCAGGTCAAACTGGAAGCACACATTCATTGGTAAACTCCGGGCCCCACACCATCGACCAGAACGTGCATGGGAAAGTCGCCGGCAGACACCGGATTAATTGTTGCCGTGTAGTTGCCACCTCGGAAGATGAGAGATTGGGGAAAATTTGGGAAACTCTTGAGAAGCCCAGGTCTGAGCCTCCAAGGTACGTGAAGGACAGGGAGACAGGGGGTGTGGAGCCCAAGTAGCCAGTGATCGCCGAAGTCCTTGAAGTGCAGTCTTGTGGAAAGGGGCCGAGCAAGATGTGAAAGCATGAGGAGCAGGCGTGGCGGAGGACCGTGGGTTGTCTTCTGCATCCCGAGTATGGATGATGAAGTTGTTGTCCTGACGGTAGACTCGCGGCAATGCTGTGCAGCTGGATGCATCGAAGCTGCGAAGCTCTTGGCCTGGCCGGCCACCACGCTGGTCAAGGCAGCCTCAGCTGTGCACTATGAGCAGCGCACTACAGCTGCTTTCCAGCTGCTTGCAGCTGCTTACAGTCTCAACGTCAAGGAGCTCCCGAAGCCACAGACGTATTGGCGGCTTCCTGTGGCCTGCAGGACTTTGGTTCTTTTCTTACTTTGGCCGGGATCACAACATGTGCTGAAGGCCCTGCACAACAACTGTGGTAGTATCGAGGGCGAGGACCTTCAGCAGTTGCATAGATCTCTGCGTGCCGGTGCCGTTGCTTCGCATGTTGCCCAGGAGTCTCTCCGTGTTGAGTGACTGAGATTGCCGGCATTGAGTGGATGCAGAAGGTAGTTGCTGGGGACCAGCTCGTCCTCAAAGTCCGTGGCTGCCTGAAACCGAGTTCAAAACCCTCCAAAGAAAAGCTCAGGTACAGTTTAGATTTAGTACTTTGGTCGACTCTCTTGGCATCCAGCCCAGTACAGTCTGACATAAGCAGTTCCGGCCTTAGCATTTGTAGCAAGCTGATATTTCAACCGTCACAATGGCAACAGGCTGCTCTGGGCAACCGGCCGAGTGCTTGTACTGGATCTCCATGTAGACTGGCACGTGATCAGTCAAGGTCACCTGCCAAACATTTCGCACATCAGTCGTAAACTCTTCGCAGTCTCCAGCACAAGTTGGGCCTGGGCAGAGGCACGCACGGCCGTGTCTGACGCAAGCTCGTCAATGACCCAGGAGGAGCCGACCTCCGTAAAGGCAGGGCATGTTTCCGGACTGGCCCCGAAGTCGGCGAACCGAGCAGCAGGCCATAACGCGGGCCCCTTTGTCTGCCTCAATGCGGATGTTGTGCAGTCCGGTCGCTTTCGGCCTAAGCAGACTCGTGCATTGACACAAGCATACATTTCCCGAAAAGCACTTACGGTAAATACCACAAGATGCTTCCTGCACATGATGCCACTGCATCAGCTTGAGGTTCCAAGCTATTGCAAACTCCCTATTCCTGGTCCTTGCTCCGCTCATCTCATGTTCGTGCA